TGATCAATGTCTTCAATGGAATTATCATTGCACACCTTACAAAATCCAGTGTCACTCTGATCCTTAGACCATTTTTTAGTTCGCTGTTGGAGAGGGAGGGTGTTTGAACGGAGCTTAAATTTTATTGATGCTCCTTCAAAATCAGTACCGTCAAGAAGGTACTCCTCCATACTTCGTGACGTTTTAATTAATGAATATTTTACAATCAAAGGTTTGCTTTTAATATCATCCTTCCAGCAATTTAACGAATTTTGTTTTAGAGCATGTTTTATTTCAATTACAATTACTATCTGTTGCTTTCTGCATGAATGGATGCTTCTATTGTGTTATATGTAAATTGCGGAGAGTGCTATCTTGCTATGCATTTGCTGTGCATTTAGCTTATATCCTAGGGTACTTGCTATGTTATGGTTGAAATGTGAATACAATGATTGCTAGTTGCAACACTGAAGATTCACAATAAAATATGAAAATGCTCTTTTTAGGCATTCACTATATAAACAATGATAACTTCCTCCCGTAGAGCCTTGAGCACTAATGCAGTTGATGTGTGCGATTTATAGATCTTATTATTATTATTATTATTATTATTAACAGTGTGAAGCAATATGTGTTATAGAATACAAACATATTTTTGGTGTTGTTGACATCATGAATCATCATTTAATGACTTCTAATGTACATAAATTTAATTTTTATCTGATTTTAGTTAAAGTTGCAATGGAGTGAAAAGTACAAGGATTGGATGGCGGCAACGGAATTAAAGATATCAGAGTTACAAGCAGCTAACAATCTCTTGTAAGTGTAAAGCTATGGCAGCTTATACAATTTTCTTTAAAAGACAACTGTTTTATGTCAATATTTCATCAAGATGTGCCTGTATATGGTCATGATGTGATGTCATCATGGCCATATTTAGACATGTTAAGATTTGATACTCTTTACTTTTTTGCTAAAAACTGCCCCAGACCATAATTATGTAGTTATACTAAGATTATTATAACTGCACATTGTTTTAATGTTATACTGGCATATGAAAATGAAATGAAAAAAGCTTTGAATGAAAAGAAATGTGGTTGGTAGATTCTACCATATTGATTATTGTTTCTGTTTTTGTTTTTTAGGAGGCAATATGTCAAGCCACCTGGTAAAGATTAATTCTACCACTATTATTAAGATGATTGCTCTGTTAACTTGAAGGAGACAAATTGTGTAGAAATGAGGAAATCCTCTATGATGTCTATGTACTCTCCATACACTGCTGAAGCTGTTAATGCACTTAGACTCTTTAGATGTTATCTTCCTAATAATACAATGGAAAAGCACAAAAAAAACAGTATGGTACTATAATAATAATAGTAATAGTGTACATTTCTATTTAGCACCAGTATCCATCAAACAAGATGCTCATGGTGCTTGATGTGTGACTAGCAGCTCATACAGTGACTTTTCTTTGCCCCTAAGGGTCCTTTGTGTCTGTGCTACCCGGTAAACCGGTATCAGCATCTCTCAGTGTCCACACATGAGCTGACTGTACCGGTACAACGGAGTATCCCCTACTTGTCTCGAATGATGTACTCTTTTCTTTATATGAGCATATAGTGCACACAACCAATTGTGCACAAAATGTGATATGCAATATTCCTTTATTTGGTAAAGAGTGTGATTTTTTTCATACCAAAAATATCTTTGTATGGTGTTTTAAAAGCCACTTTCAAGTTTTAATAAAAGCAAATAATATAGAAATCTATTCATTTTACTAAATCTGAAAACTTATAAATAAATATTTAATATCAGCATTATATATATAAATAGATCCACCTGTTGATATATGTTGCCTTCATCTCGTTGCCTTTATTTTAATTGTTGCTACAGTATAGGGCAAACTACTGTATTGATTACTGTAGATTTTAATTTTTATGTAAACATACAATGCCGTAGTTGAGATATTAGTTTACGAAATGTGTGTATATTTGTGTAATATTTAATAATTGCTATAAATAATTTAATCAATGTGATCTTTCACAAGCTTACATAATAAACAAAAAACGAACAGTGAATGTTTTGTTGAGTTTGTCTCTATTGCTCTCAAAAGTAATGCATAATACAATATGTATTGCGATCACTAATCTATCTGTTACAGTTTTAATCAGCGGCAGATTTGGCGCCGCCACCGCCCCTCCCCCCTTTTTTTTTCGGAAAGGAAAAAAAAAAAAGAAAGAAAAAGAAAAAAGCCCAAAACGCCTCAGAGGTTAATTTCAGGCGTCTAGAACACAAAAAGTTCGCGGAGGCATGCAATCGGGGCCCCACTTTCTGCCCCCCACCCCACTAAATTTTAAAACTTATTTTGCGAATTAGCGTCACTCAACTGATCATCGACCCCCCGCCGCTCTACTTCACCTTCGCACCCCCAACCCCTCAGCCTCCCATTTCAAGGCATCTATATACGCCACTGATTTACGTGGCCAGATGAATAAAAATACTCAATTGATGTGCCACCAAATCGTAACCAGCCTTTACTATGCCCTCACGATGTCACCGGGGACGCTACCAATAAACAATCAACAAACTACCGGGTTTCTGGGTTGATTTACAAGGTACTACGTGGCTCAACTATTAAATATTTTTTACTTAGGGGTTAATTGGTAAAAATCGCACACAAATCATACGACGTCACTGACAACGTCGAGGACGGCAACTCGATTTTGAGATTAATTTTTCGAAAAAAAGTTATACTGTACTAAATAACTAGTAATGACGAACTATTGTCTTCATTTGTCTTTGTTGGTCATTCAACTGTCATTTTATCTACTTTTTCGGTGATTCCCAATAATCTATGAAACACCCACATAACAACGTCACGTTAGATCGCCGGTAGGGTCAATTTTCGTCGGAAGGTATCAAGATGATATACAGTTTCATCGGACTAAATTCTTGCTTATGTTAACCATGCTAACCTAAGATTATACTGAGTTTCAAATCACGGTCAAGTAGTTAAATATCACCTAAAATCACCTTATTTTGCGAATTACCGCCCTCAAGTGATCATCGACTCCCACCCCACTTTACCTTCGCTCCCCCTCCCCATCAGGGCAACCTATTTAATGACATCTAGATACGCCACTGACTTACATGGCCAGATGAATGAAAATACTCAATAGGTGTGCCACTAAATCGTAACCAACCTTCACCATGCCCTCACGATGTCACCGGGGACGCAACTGCCAAAGATAGTGAAGTGACGCTACCAATAAACAATCAACAAACTACCGGGTTTCTGGGTTGATTTGCAAGGTACTGCATGGCTCAACTATTTTTTACTTAGTGGTTAAGGTAAAAAATCGCACACAAATCATACGACGTCACTGACAACGCCGGGGACGGCAACTCGATTTTGAGATTAATTTTCCGAATAAAGTCATACTAAATAACTTCTAATGATTTCTAATTGTCTTTGTTGGTCATCCAACTGTCATTTTATCTATTTTCTTGGTGATATTACCATTCTCAATAATCTATTAAACACCCACATAACAACGTCACGTTAGATCGATCTGTGGGGACGCCGTGGTGACGCCGGTAGGGTCAATATTCGTCAGAAGGTATCAAGATGATAAACAGTTTCATTGGACTGAATTCTTACTTATGTTAACCACATGCTTACCTAAGATTATACTGACACTGGTTTCAAATGAAATAACTGACAACTTTGGTTTGTATCAATGTTTTAACAAGTACATAAAACTATGTCACAAATACGTATGCAAAAATGCACAGGGACACCACGCTGTTTTTGTATTTTTCTTTAAATCTGTATGCCTGATCACCATCATCATACACAGTATAATAGATTCAAGTAATATGTTTTAAATGATATGAAAATGTATGCAAACATGCCTTGGGAACAGTTTTTTTTTCGAGTTTTATTTACCTTAACGTCGACTCCGTCTTAGAAAGCACCAGGATTAATCACACCACGATTAATCACACGCTGTTTTGTATTTTTCTTGAAATCTGTATGCCTGATCACCATCATCATGCACAGTATAATAGATTCAATTAAGATGTTTCAAATAATATAAAAATGTATGCAAACATGCCTTTTGGAACAGGTATTTTTTTTTCGAGTTTTATTTACCTTAACGTCGACTCCGTTTTAGAAAGCACCAGGATTAATCACACAATCAGTATCCTTTTATAAACCTCTAATTCCAAAAAAAAATCAGTAAATCCTGTGCAATATATAAAAATACATACATAATAAACTGATTAACAATTAAACACATGTTGCATAAATGAGGTCCCATGAAAAATTGTAATTTTGTCGAACGACAACTGCAACTCCGCTCCCTGTTAACGATAGATGACGGAACGCCGTCTACTGAAATATTTTTACAAATTTAGTGGCGCCCCGGGCCGGCAGCTCCCCCACCCCCACATTTTACTCCGCCACTGGATGATGTCCTACAGCCCTTGTGAGGCTGAGATACGAAAATGTATTATTATGGCACGTCTAGATGGCCGGAAATGGCACTCACGGACTTAAAATTGTGAATATAATTTTCTTTTTATGCATTTATATTTTTTCTTTTTTGACAAATTTGGTGGGGTCCCGGGTCTCTTTAATCGTTATAATATGATATATGCCCTACAGTCGATTTCAGAGACACATTATGGTGCCAATTTATCAACAAAGTCTATGGTCAGGGTGCTAGATCGAGGAACCTATGGTTAGGACCCCTTCGGGGCCCCAGAATTCGGGGCCCTGCGGACCACCGCATGAGATTGTAAACTGAGGCGTTACGCTACTGGAATGATATGTGGCATTGGGGTTTAGTGGCTGATTAAGTGACAGTGCTTTGTATGTGACATGAAATGGTTAGGTGGGAATTTAATTAATTCATTCATTCCGTGCACACTCAAGTATTTCAAACCACCAAAACTTCTATTATAATATGCACCAATCGTGACATATAAAATAGATAGATTTTGTGGTAAAAAGCAACAATGAAACATGAACATTTGAACATTGATTTGCGGACTGGAAGTAAAAGTGTAGCTCGATTCACTGACTTTATAGATTTTCGTTCCTTCAGTTTCTATAATTTCTATGTAACTTTTAAATACGTTAATAAGCCAAAAAATATATATACAATGATGAACAATTGCTTTTATATGGTACTTTTTAATTGTCGAAATCTTTTTTTTTTTCTAAAAATAATTATGACGGATTGTTTTTCGAAAATATAACTCATATTGTTTCAATGAAAAATCTTGTGTGTAGGCGTTCTGCCGCCCTCAACGTGTACTACAATAAACAAATTTTATAATTTAACCAAACATCAAACGCCGAAGTATTTTGAAAGAGGTTTGGGTATTTTTCATGCTGGGTTATTGCTGATATACTAGCTTCAAACAAAATGTGTAAGTTTTGTGATGTGTTTATACCTTATTTTATGTTAACATAGACTATTATAAGTGGTATGTTTGACATTATATTTCTGTAATTTGTACCCTTGCTGCTAGGCCTCCGTATTTAATATTAGTTAGGATGGGGATAGGCCTAGCCCTGCCGCCAGATAGCGACCACCTACGCTTGCCTCGCCTCTATCTGTGTATGACCTTTTGGGCGAAAACAACCAGAGCCTGAGGCCTAGTTGGTAGACTAAGAGCTAAACTCAATGAAAACCTCCCTTGACTTTATAAAGATTACTCTGATAGTTTACCTACCGTATAAAATATGTACGTAGTCGTAGGCCTAACTAGGGCCCTAGCCTCTAAAGAGACTGCCTACAATACAATAATTTTTAGTTTCTTAAATTTAATTTTCATTTTTGGTATCATACTATTCATAGAATGCATTAAATCTTGACTCTCTGTGGCTGGCAGTGAAGGTCATGCAAACATGTCATCATTAATGGGAGACCAACTTATTCTTGAAGAAGACTATGATGAGAATTACCAACCAAATGAAGACGGTAAAGTAAACTTTCACAATGCTGTTTTATGCATTACTTTCAATGGTAGTACAGAATTTATATTATAGCATGCTGCTATTTCATGAAGATGAGTGCTCATGGGGATTGTACAAAAGTCTACTGATAGAAAAATGTTAAATATCACAAATTCAACCAATTTACATTTAATTTTAGTTTGTAGTATCCTCGATCATTGAGACCCACTAAATAATAATTCCCCTCCTTCTGCTATCTGTAGAATCCTCTGAGTGAGTTCCTCCTTCTGCTGCTAAGGAGAAGTTACTGGCATGGCACACCAGTTTCCTCTCCACAATGGAAGCGGAGGTGAGGGTCTATTTCTCTTCCCATGATGTTCAATTCTTGGAACTCTTAATGGAAGTGCATGAGGTGTAACCATAATATTTATTTTCTATGATAGAAATCAGGGAGTATGCATCCGTGATTGGCATTAACCCTGATGAGGATCCAGAATTGATGTGGATTGCCCGTGAGGGCATCATTGCACCTTTACCGGAAGATTGGAAACCATGGTAAGACTCGTAAGAAAAGTCCCTGTCTATTTGAACTGATAGGTTTTAAAAATCTTCTCACTTTCATTCCCAAGAGACCATAAACTTTTACATTATTAGTTGTCAATTCCAGAAGTGTATGTAAAAGCCAATTGTTTTATGCTGTTTATGAATATACCACACTAGTTTAGGCAACAAAGCCTTTTGTATTGTAAATGAGGATGTTGAATTATCTCTTGTTCCTTGGGCAAGGTACTACCCAGGAGTATAAATTGGTATCATCTATGGCTTGCTAGGAAGGTAAACGGGAGCGGGAAACCCCTACAGCACTGAAGAGTCTGATGCCAACGAAAGAGAGATGGGTACTGAGAGCTTGGAGTTACAGTGTTCAATTTTTTTCTACCTTACTTCTTATACATAGATATGAACTATATTTAAAGATTATAATTAGGCAATTGTCATTGTTGTTGACTTCTTCGGTATTCTTTTAGTCAGGACACAAATGGGGACATCTACTATTTCAACTTCACCACTGGTGACAGTGTGTGGGACCACCCTTGTGACGAATTCTACCGGACCATGGTCATAGAGGAACGAGAAAAGCTGGCATTGTCAGGAAAACATGTTGGTGGTAAAAAAGATGGTAAGAAGAAAAAGGATAAAAAAGACAAAAAAGCAGGCAAAAAGGAAACTAATGAGAAGAAAGGGGGACTCCCAGCGTCTGTAAGTTATATATATTTTTTGTATTTATTAAATATACACTAGTCTCATTTTATTAATGTTCATAAAAATATAGAATGTTAATTTTCATTATCCAGTTACATGATTATTATATAAATGATGAATATATTTGTCTTTTTGTATTTATTAAATATACACTAGTCTCATTTCATTCATGTTCATAAAAATATAGAATATCAATTTTCATTATCTAGTTCCATGATTGTGATAAAAATGAAAAATATATATTTGTCCCAATGATTCATAGCCATGATCCTGGATTAATGTAGCTCTACTATAGCGACACAACTACGAGGCAGGCTGGTTTATTCAATTCCCTTGTCTCATTGACACACATTTGTTTCTCAAAATGTTACACAATATACAGTTACATTTTACAATGAATAAAATCTTGTTATTTTAAGTCACTTGCACCTCTGAAGAAGGACATGGTGTTAGGATCCAGCATTGGTTCGCTTGGTAGTACAGCTGCCGGTACAGGCAAACTAGGCGCTTTGGGTTCAGTAAAGGACCCAATGAAGAGCACATTAGGCTCTACATTTGGGGTAAATAACCTTTGTATTTGTATTTCTTATTTTTTTTTTTTTTTTTGCAAAACATCTTTTGATTCTTATGTATATATTGTTATGGAATACTAAAATCAAATTATTAGGTTAGTGAAATTTTAAATGTTAGTCTTAACTTGTGACAATTTTAACATATTTTAAAGACAAATTCTGACAAATTTTAAACTGAAATTTTTTACACACTTTGAATTATGAAATCAACTTTCCATTTTTAGCTGTTTTTCCTTCTGTTATTATTATTACTTGTTTACTTGCATATTGAATGCATATTGAATGTTCTTTCAGAGTGATCTAGGCCAGTCGACTGATGCTTCTAGGTTTCTGAAAAGCAAGAATGGTTCTCTGGATCAGAAGAAGCCGTTGTTACAAGGTGGTCGGGAGGAGAAAATCCAGATGATGCCAGATTTTTCTGATGAGGTACAAGTTGATAATTTTCCAGCCTGGTTCATCGTCCTTTATATCATTGCATATCCTTTATTCTTATGCATAATATTGTTTAAAGCATTCAATACAAATAAACAGTAGTGACAGTACACCACATGAATTGTTCTAAAAAGAACTCATAATTGTTGCGAATATCTTGCTGTACTTACCAAAATATTCACTATTTTTGACTTATATGCATAAAATACATTATATAGTCAGTTTCTAATGTAAGATATTGTATTTATTCATTTTGAAAGTTGAATTATTTATTTGTGTTATTAAATTTAATGAATATTTGTTTTCAGTCCCAGGAATCAGCAACACCACGTTTGAACCTTGACCTTGATTTAAAGGACATCAATGATCTAAGCTATGAGGTATAAATACCATTATCATCATCATTGCCATCATCATCATTGTCGTTGTCATCAACATCATCACTGTCATCGATCTCATCATCATATTATTAATTAATGTAATCTTCATTATCAGTATCATAATTGTCATCATCAGTGTTATCATTGTCATGTTTTGTCTACAGTCTTTTGTAGATATCAGCATTCTTTAATTTTCATGCCATTTTGTTTCCAATAAATATGGATTATCCATACGGATTCTAAACTTTACTTAACTGGTATTCTACAGGAATCTGAATCAGAATTGAAGATGATCAAAAGCACAGGAATGTCAGAAAGTGAAGACGACGATGATGATGTTAATGTGGTAAGATTACTATTAATTAACTACACAATTATTTCCAACTTTATTTCTTTATTATTGTAACGATAGAAAAAATTGTGTGATAATATAAGCAAGATTCTTTGGTCTTGATTCCTTTTAATTAATTTTAAGTGATGATATTTTCTCAGGATTTTGGAATTGATGTTGGAATATCAAAGAGACTTGGATTGATGGATGTGGCTGATCTTGAACCAATTGCAGACACACCAACTCCAAGGGAAGAGGTATGCAGACATAATTATTGAAAAGATGTCTATATCGTATTTAATACGTTGTGATTACTAATCAATTATGTGGAACATTTGCTAATGCAAAAATCCATAGGAATTTAATTTGTTCTAATATTAAATATTACTTATTTGTTTAGATAAATCAACTTGATAAATGGATGAAGAAACCAACAGGAGGAAAAAGTGATGAGATCGCTGCCAAAGAAGAAGAGAAGAAGAGGAAGGAAGAAAAAGAGAAAGAAGAAATGGAAAGAAAACAAAAAGCTGATCTTCAAGCTAGTGCAGCCCTTAAGTAAGATCCTAATTTTAAGTACGTAACTTTATGCAATGTAGGCCTCCTCTGGGAGCAGAGATAGCTGCACTTCGTGTCACTTTGCCAATTATAGATCCAGTGATCTTGGATTATAATAGGACTAATGTTACCATGTCTTGCATTGCTGCTTGAGATGTAATTGGTCAAAATGAAAGCATATGTGTTCCTAAAACGATGTCAATGATTCATGGGGAATTATTTTGTGCCAAGTTACAGGCACAGACTTCCTAGGAGTTGGAAGGGTACACATCTCTGGGAGTAGGGGATGGTACACATACAAATAAACTTAAAGGTGATTCACTTAATAATTTAAATCTTTGCAGGAGAATGGAGATGCAGGGTGATCTTCATGAAGAGGAAAAGAAATTGCGGCAACAACATGAGCAAGAGATTAAAGAGATGAAGGAACGTCTACAGAGTGAACTAGAGGATGTCAAGCTCGAGTTGCTAGATGACAAGGAAGAAAAGCTGAAACAGCTGAAGGAGAAGATTGATAAAGAGGTTGAAGAAGAGGAGAAGAAGATGACAAAAGAAAAAGACCAAACAATAAAGTAAGTGAATTTAGCTCAATAATCTCCTATAAGTACTGTCTTGTTGAGCTATAAAACTTTCAATATTCAAATTACTTTATATAATTCATTGGGTAGTAATGAATTATTTTGGTGTTTTTTGTTATGTTTCAGAGAATTACGGAGTCAGGTAAAGGAAGAAGCAGAGGATGAAGAAGCAAGGTTAATGGAAGGAAAAAGTGATAACATGAGGAAGATGAGGGAGAATATTAGGAAGGAAGAAGAAGATGAAGAAGAGAGGTTGAGGTTTGTACAGCTCATTGTATTTATCTTATCTTTTATCATCTACATTTCAAATATTATCTGCCTACTGTCAGGTGAGGCCTCCCCAACTTGGAATCACTTACTTCTGATGTGTGCACCTCTCCATCTGATTTTTTGACTTCTCAAACTTTGAGTACCTGTTCATGGCATCTGGTGTAGCAAGGAAAAGAGATTGAAGAAACTAATTATTTTATTTATTACAGGAATGAAATGAAAAATAAAATTGATATAGTCAAGAAAGAACTTAAAGATGTAAAGGAATGTGAGGATGAGAAATTAAATGAAGAAAAGAAGAAAGTTGCAGAAAAGATTGAAAATGAAGTGAGATTATATAAAGAAGAGCAACAGAAGAAGTTGGAAGAAAAAAATGAAGAGGTACTCAAAGATGTTGATTAAACGCTACAACTATCATTTGTTTTTTAGAAAATTAAGAAAGAGACCTCGGTATTTAGGTGTTGCTGGCAGTGGTGGGAAAGTATATTCGTGTATACAGTATACATGAATATTTGTGTATTTGAATGTCTTAAACAATCATGAATATTTAAATACATTTTCTGTGCATACTTATTTTGCATACTGTAGTAACATTTAACTTTATGTTTACCAGGAAATTAAACAGATGGAAGGCAAGTTTGAAAGTGATCTGCAATCAGCTTTGAAAGACATTGCACAAGATTATGAAAAAGAAATGGAAGTGAAGAAGAAAGAAGCAACTGACAAGCATCAGCGGGTAGGGAATGTAGCTTCAATATTTGCTTAATATATAAAAAAAATTCTGTCACTTAGATTTGAACCCATGACTCAGATTGCAAGGCTACAGCTCTACTAAGTTCCACTTAAAATTCTTATTTTTGTTTTCCCTATCTCTTATAACATTGGGAACCTTCTAAGCCCTGTTACTGGGAATTCAATTCAATAAGACATTTATTCTCCTCTAATTGCACAAAAATTAAAGTAAACAATAAGCATACATTATAAACAAGTTTAAGAGAATAAATGACAAAATCAAAAGGAAGATGGCACATACCCAAGAACATGTTTTTAAAAAAGACATCTTGTGTTAGGCAGACCTGAACAAAAACTCATAACACAAGTTATTATTTATTGGTTATTCGTCTGTATTAGTTTTACTGGCTATCAGAAACTGTAAAACTTAATGTTTATATCTTAATTTAGTATTCACAATTTGCTTGTGGATATTTTTTTTTTATAGGAGCTTGATGACCTGCTTGCTAAACTACAAGATGCACAAGAAGAAGAGATGAGGAGCACCGAGGATAAACTACGAGCAACCAGAGAAAAGCAAGCTGCTGTGTCTGGAATGGAGGATGGGGTATGAATCAACAATCGTCAGCTTTTTGTTGTAAAAATAAACATTTATTTTTAATTTTTTTTTTAACCATTCAACATTCATCAAAGGCCAAAAGTCAGATAGGGCCTGTTGAGAATGTGCAAAAGTAAAAACTGTCTTCCAAAGACTTTCAGGTCTTCGAATGCTTCAGGAAGTCTTATATTTTATATATGTTCAAATCTATTTCAAAAATTGCATTATACAGAATCATGCAAGTTCTGTTGCAGTCTTGTAACCAGTGATATGTTGTAACTAACACAAACATGTAATTAAAATAAATTTAACCAACACACTTTATTTGTTGCGATTTATTTAAGCTTAATTATAATACTATACTTAATAATATTATTGTCTTTGTTGATTTTAGCTGGAGAATGTGCTGAAGGAAAGGAAACATCAAGTCAAAGAAGATCAAAGAAAACAGTTGGATAGTTTAAGGAAAGAACATGAAAAAAACCTGAAGGATATCCAGGAGGAATATAGGAAAATGGTAAGAAAATGTGTAATTGTAAGCAGGTTTGGATGGATAAATAGATGGATTGGTAAATGGATGGTTGCATGGACGGATGGATGGATGGGCGCATGCACAGATAGATAGGTGGATGAATGGATGGAAAGAGAGGTGGATGAATGGATGGATAGATATGTGGATGGATGAATGAATGGATAGATAGGTAGATTGATGGATGTATGTATGAATTGATGGATATGTATATTTTCTGTTGTGCAGATAAAAAAAAGAAATGAAATATATAAAATTACAATTACTGTGTAATATATCATAGTGTCAACTGTGATACAATTTTTATGATGCTTCGACAAACATTACCACTGTTAGCATTTTTTCTAGACATTGTAATAACAAACATGCAATGTGTTATGTTTTTATTTACATGTGTGCTCTGTTTTTTATTCCAGGAAGAGAAAGAAAGAGGTTTAGTAAATTCCAAACTTGAGAGTGAAAAATCAAAACTTGCAAAGGATCATGAGAAGGAACTAAATGCATTGCAAAGGGAGTTTGAGGAGAGAAAGGAAGAGCTTCATAGAAAGCATGAAGATGAGGAGAGCGCCCTCAAGGAGACCAGTGAATCATTGGATGATACAAAGCATAAGCTGGAGAAGCTGGCCAAGCAGATCGAAAAGGAGGAAAATGATCTTAAGAGGAGGAGGGCTAAATTTGAAGATGATCAGATGAAATTTGAAGGAGAAAAAGATGTGAGCTATAAACAATTTCATTTGCTGGTGATAATTATGTCTTTTTTTTAATCATATGTTTCAATAGCTTTATTTTCAAGTTTTATTCTTTAAAAAAATGTATTATCTTGGCCTAACCCATCCATGCCAGCTAGGTACTGGAGCTTGGCCTAAGCCATCCATGCCAGCTAGGTACTGGAGCTTGGCCTAAGCCATCCATGCCAGCTAGGTACTGGAGCTTGGCCTAAGCCATCCATGCCAGCTAGGTACTGGAGTTTGGCCTAAGCCATCCATGCCAGCTAGGTACTGGAACTTGGCCTAAGCCATCCATGCCAGCTAGGTACTGGAGCTTGGCCTAAGCCATCCATGCCAGCTAGGTACTGGAGCTTGGCCTAAGCCATCCATGCCAGCTAGGTACTGGAGCTTGGCTTCTGCTTCGTAGATTTCTAGCTCTAAAACCCGATCTGTAGGTTTTGCTTGGCAGTAACAATACTATGATTCATATTCGTGAAAATGTCTCGAATAATTTTAATACTGTAATACAAATCTGATCTCTAAGCCTAAAATTGGGATGTAATTGGACTATAGTGCAACAGTATACAATAAAAAATTTTTTTTTTGTAGGAAGCATTTGCAAACCAGGCAGCATCCCTGACCTCTAGGGAGCTGGAGGAATTACGAGTGCTACTTAAACAGATTCAGGATGAAATAAAACATGAGAGAAATCAGCTAAAACTGCTGAGGCAAGAGAGAGAACACCTTGAGTCAGATATAAAAAGAATGAAACAAGAAAAACAAGAATTGAGTAGAAGGTGAAGGATATGTTTTTGTGTAAATTTCAAATAAAACTCAATTTGTGCTTCAAACAATAGACTATTCGAAAAAACACCCCAGGGCATTTATTGTTGAGAAGGTTTTTAATCCAATCCAATCAGGTCATTTATAAAGCGCCTTTCTTTGCAGATACGAAACACTAAGAGAGAATTTTATTTGAGAATGGCTTTGCTTTTTAATGGATACATATATAAAGTATTGTTTGAAGTAATAACATTATGTTGAAGCTTGCGGTACACCATGTAAGTAGTTCTGAAAAGAACTGTTGTAGTTGAGAAAGTCTCAACGTTTCGATTGAGATGCTTTAATCTTATATACTCAACTAAATGCCCCTTAATTTCACTGTATATGTGAAATTAAAACACATAATTACCGTGAAATTGTATTATTGTGTGATTATAAAGACTTGCTGATTTCAACCAAGTTAGAAAAAATGTAATTCTACTGGAGAAGAACATTAATAGAATGTGTTGAGAATTAAGTTGCTTCCATTAAATTTGTTTACATTCATTTGGGAATCGGAGGCGTTTATTTAAGGAAGGTTTTTGTTCCAAATGAGACTTTAGCGAGGGCCTCTATTCAAAGTAAGGTATTTAAACTGTGGCTCAGTGGTTTTGATGCCTACTTTTAAATTCCAGGTTCCTCAGTACAATCAGGAGTTTTCCAAAAGCTCATCTGCTTTGCACCTATTAAAATTTGTAATTAAGTTGACAATTTTGGCTTGCAGACCTAATATACGGCAAAGTGAGCCATCGTTACATCATGACCATTTGCCAGTGAATGGAGATGCAAGTCCCGAAGAGGTTTCTCCTGGCAACATGGTACCGACAACACCAAGTGCGGATGTGATGGATATGAAGGAACTTTTAACACCATCACCATCCAAGCATGTAAGCTAACATTATTCATATGATGCATATATAAAGATATTTTATTTTTGGTATGAATTTTGTATTTGCTGTTGGATGGAATAATGAATAAATAATAACAGTACATGTAAGCTAACATTATTCATATTTTAATTCTGTATAATGCTGATATATATTATATAAATATATTTTGTCTTTGGTATAATTATAAATGTCATTAATATATTGAATCAATTTTTTTTTCATTCTATCTAGCGAAGGGAAATGGTTCACCCAAGAGACTTTTCACGACCTTTATTAGAAAATGATGTTGATGGTAAGTATTATATATTATATAATGTAGGTCCCTAAAGGCAAACTCAGACAGCGTTGTGCGATGCGACCTAATGCGATTCATCCTCGGGGACAGTCTTAAACCGTCGTGAGAAATATTAAACATGTTAATATTCTGCAACGTAACTTTGCCCAACGCAAACTGTTGCATCTGTGTTTAACTCACACAGACCCGATGCGACAGCAAATCGTGTCGGGTTGTGTCGTATGAAGCTGTCTAAGTTGGCCATTATACGTACGGTCGGAAGTTTGATACTGGCTAGTTGTGTATGCCTTTGATCAAATACATATGCACTAACTAAGGGCTAGCATTGTTATTAGGGGAACTATATTAAATGTTGAAATAATTTTGGTAAGCATCATTTTTTTCTATTTCAAAGACTTTGAAGTGAATTCCAGGGAGTCGTTAAGCAATGCAGGGCATCAAAGAGAGCGGGCAAACTCAGGTGTACACAGGTCACGTCAGGATAGTGGTAGAAGTTACCATTCAGGGAGCTTCTGGACTGAAAATATAAGACCTGCTTTGGTAAGTCATTCTACACTACATGTTTATGTTGTCTACACTACATGTTTATGTTGTCTACACTACATGTTTATGTTGTCTACACTACATGTTTATGTTGCTCATCTTGTAATATACTAAATATCTCATCACTGCATGCTTCCAGATATGAAAGAAATTCTTGTCTTGGTTTTATACTGTCTGTTGTACCATCTTAATAAATCTCATTTAAACAAATTAAATACTTTATCAGCTTTAAATTAAACACAGGTCGAAATGATACTGTAGAATTTTTAAAGCCATGTTCAGTGTTTCTCTCATCTATTAGAACAATGTTAGTAGTTACCATTTATAAATGTTATATTAGTTGATTTGCGTACTCTTTTGTATTATTGCAAAATTCTAACATGTATTGGTTTGGTCATTTTGTTCTGTTTTTTTGTATGCACTCCAATCTTATTGAAAACTCTTTGCTTGTTAAGATTCACCTGTTTTTTTGTTCTCCATTTTCAGGCAGGACAAAACAGAACAAGGTCAAGTCATCACTATGCTTGGCATGATGGCGAATTTGATGATGATATAAGTGAACCATCAGATGACTTCGCTCATTTGAATATTCGTAATCACCTTCAGCAAAGGTAAAATTGATTTATATATAATTGTGTTTTCTGCAATATTAATTATTTTAAAATATTTGATTAGCAACCATAGTTTTAAGTAATACAGGTAATACTTATTAACAAAAAATACTACAACAAATAATTTAGGTGTGAAGCTGTAGCATGGTGGTTAAAAGAAACATTTAAAATATTTCATACAATCTTCTAACAAAACCTAACGTTTAAAAAATTGTTTCCATAGTAATCTTCGTGTGCGGCTGATTGAAGAGGGCAGCGCCATACAACGTGCCAAAATGTTCCTTAAGAAACAGAAGAAAACACTCAACAATAGGCAGTCAAAACTACAAAATGCCAAGCAGGAATGGCGAAGGGATGTTCGCAATCAGTACGTCGCTGGCTTGTCCCCGAGTAGTGCATCAATGCTTGATGATGTCAAACTTAGCTTAGAAAGGGTAATTCCATACATATACTGTCCAATTTTATCTGCCAGACTTGCATCTAATTCAGTCAGACATTATCATTCTGATCAAACAAAATGTATGTTTATTGAAACTTAGCTTAGAAAGGGTAATTTAGGAATATACTTTCAAATTTGTGTCCGTCAAACTTGAAATCAAATGCAGACATCATTTATTGTATGTTTTTCGAATGCAATCTTCATATTATTATTTCATGTTGAGCATTTGTCTCTATTGTTCCACCAGGAAGCTATTGAGCTGGATAAAGCTGTTATTAATGTAACAGCCGGTCGCAGACTGGTCCGGGAAAAAGAGCAAAAATTAAAGCAGTTACAAGAGTCTCTTATCGATGTGGTAAGAAAAAGTTTCCTTAATATATAAATATTAGAGGAAAGCTGTTTATCACCATTTTCCAATGTAGAAGAATAAGTAAATAGGTACCTGGTAAATGTGATGTGTAGGCTCTTTGTCAATTCTTTAAATACATGGATAATCAGACTATTATCTATCACCCCTACACAGAAATAGAACACCTGTTTGAAGGCACTACATGTCTATATGCTTGTCTTTCTTTGTAGGGGTGTTCATAAGAATGATAGTAATAGCCTATAGATTGTCCAGGCAAGTATCTCAGGTCTTGTACCACTAACAGCACTGCTAATTAATTGTGTAATTTCCAAGCAATGACAAATAACAGACAGCTTAAATAAATCACTCTTAAAACGTGTCTGTTATCTGTCATATGAATTACAGATATATGCCATATATAATTGTATTTCTCTTTCTTGTCTTGCATTTCTGTTACACTAGAGTTCAGATAGTGACTTAAGTGATGTGACGTACCATAGGCAGAGGCAGCATGTGCATCATGTTAGTCTCAGCGACTCCTCAGATGATGATGAAGAGGAGGATGGCGAGGATTTTAAAACACCCTTGTACAGGCCAGGTGTCAATAAACCACCTCTTTCAGTGAAAGGTTTGTTGTCCATGAACATTTTTTTATGCTTTTCATAAATTCTGCAAAGGGCTAATAATACAGAGCGTTTATATGTACATTACTTAGAAATGTTTGCATGCTGAAATATTTCGATATGCTGAATAAATTAATCTATAATTTAAGTTAAAGGCGTTTCAGGAATCCTAAGCATCCTGGCAGTTTTTTTTTACAAAAAGCGCCACGGTCTACTGCACTTTCGCAAAGCAGACATAAGACTCCCACAAACTAACCCACTCTTCCAAATTTAGAATGTTTTTACTACTGTATTATTAAATGTCTTCCTGAAGTCAGCTGGCTATGGGTATATCACTGCATGCAGAAAAAATATAAGATGTCTAAAGATGCATAAAAGCGGTTTGCGCATCGGTTGTGGCTTGAACTTCCAACCTTGAGGTCGGGGTTCGAAACTCTTGACTGCAAGTTGCTTGTGTCCTTAGGCAAGGCACTTTACCTATGGATGTCTCTCTCCACCCAGGAGTACAAGTGGGTACCTGATAGGTTCAAAGACAACCATGCACTGATTACAGCTGCAGCATTATGAAATTCTTCCAAGGGACCTGAGTATGTGTTCCATATGTGCTTGATCCAACGACCGGGGGTAATAATGTTACATGCATAGAGGTCTCTACAATAAGTCAACAATTTATTTATTCTTTCTTTATACTGAATATACACTTTCAATACATATTACTGATTTCCAAAATAGTTCAGTTCTTGTAACCAAAACACTGTAACCCCCAAAAAAAGAAAAACTTAACTGCAAAGTTATAAAATAAAATTGGAAGAAACATTAGATGAAACAAAAATATTTTATATAATTTTTTATATATTATAATTAATTAAATTATTATTTAAATATTTTAAATATTTAAATAAAATAATTTATTTAAATATTTAATTATTATTTACATATAATTATTATTAATAGAGAAAGCTCATTATATTATATGTCACTGAAGTCACTTCCTCAAACTTCACTCTTGCTCTTGTAAGAATGGTAAATTACTAACATATTATTTTTTTTTCTTTTTATATTTTTTTTGCTCTCTCTGCAGATGGTATGAGCTCTAAGAGTGACCAGGCATCAGACATCCTAAAGGGTATTGATACACTGCTTTCACAGAGGTCAACCATGAATGAAGCAGTGATCGAACCAATCACTTCCTCTCTTGATAAAGTCAACAAACAGTTAACGGATGTCATGGGTCTTTTACAAAAACAACTTCCACAAGGTAGTGCCATTCCAAATGGAGCACTGGATCCAACTGGCAATGACGTCCAGCCCCAGCAAGCACCTCACCAACCTCCACCCTTTCAACCATCACTGAATGGCACGTATACACCTTATGATGCAACCCCCTCTTATGGTTACCAACCAGCGAATAGAGTTCCTCTCTCCAGTCACTACTTTAATCCAGATTACACCAATTCTTATAGGAGAGGTGTTTCAACAGGGTTTTCTGTTTATTCCTCAATGAGAAATTCACCAGCATTCCGTGAACCACAATCGGAATCGGCTGACCAAGTACTGGAAAGGAAGTGGAGAAAATATTTTGGAGGTAACTGCATTGCTTAATTTCGGCTTTAAGACTGGCTGCTCAATGTAGGCCCACGATCAAATGTTTATGAAAAATCAGTTCTACAATATATCAAAAATTTGTTTTCCTCCGGAGCCTGACTTTAAAGTCTGAAATGCACAACGAGCATAATAATAATATACTGTGATACTCAACCAGGTGGGCATAGATGTTTTTGTAGAAATAATAGTTTTAATTTTTTGCATTAATTCTTTCATTTGATTTTTTTAAGGTAACACAAGTTCTGTAAAACCTCTCACCACTGGTCTTTCAACTTCAACAGGGTCAAAGTTCAGAGGCTATATACCTGCCAGGTTAGATCAAAGTGTCGATAAAATTTATTGTTAATCACATAAACATCAAATTCTAAGAATACACTTCTATACATGCATACAGTACATACAATGGTTGCAGAAATGCTGAAGTGTTGTCTATTTTTTCTTGTGATGCTTCTCTTTTTTATATATCCATATTTATACATTCATTTTATTGTTAATCCATTCTGTAAGTGGTGGGTTTCCCGCTGTTGGGTGTGATTTTAAATAAAATAAAAAATAAAATAATACATTAGATCTTTATTTGACAGCATAATTATTTGACTTGTCTTAATCCTAAATCATTGTTCTTTTTATTAATACTCTAGTGAACAGTTGCGGTCTTTTCGTGAGAGTGCAAGGCGCAATACTGCAGACATCGGTGGATCAAGACTCGGTTCAGTTGATGCCATGAAGGACATGCAAAGCAACTGGTTGAATGATCTGCCTAAAACCAGGGCTATGCCAATTGGTAGCACAAATAACAGTAACACTGCCTCACACTTAGTTGATAATGAAGGCTTTGGAGCAATGAGGCTAGAGCTGGATGAGAATAATCAGATACGGTTAAAACCTCGGTAGGATTTAGCCTTCGCACTACAGTACTAAGAACATTTGGAGAATAATTGCATATCAAAAAAAGCACCAGAGAAGTACATGTCCAATGAAAATGGCAGTAAACAGCATTATGTCATCGGAAGCAGTGAGCAGAAGACATGACCGTATTACATGCATGTTGAGACATACATATGACATGTTGTGAGGTTTGCAGTATTTTGATTTTGCTTGCCCATCACATAACATTCTGAATTTTCCCACGGTGCTTGCTTATTTCTGAGTGAATCCTGTGACCCCGACATGTACAAAGATTTTCATACACGTACGATGAGACATACAGGTACATATGACATGCAAGGTTTTTTAGTGTTTTGGTTTTGCTTGCAGTTTGTAGTAAAAGATGTGTGTAACCAGTTGACAGGAAATGGCAAGAAAAAAGTGCACAGTACTATATGCTAGGAATTAAATCAGCCACGAGGTAAACATCAAGTAGAAATACCCACTGTTTTTATTGGCTATGTTCTCACACGGCAGGTAACGGTTAGCAGTATCCGGATGCTGTTAACCGTTAGCTGCTGTCTGTCCATGCGAGAAAATCCCGATCCGGATACCAACAATATGATGATCGAATCACTGACCAATAAGAAACTGGAAATTGTAAACGCGTATGTGCGATTGGTTGATGATAGAAACGCCATCAATTGCCAACCGTTAGCGTATCTGAATACCGCTAAATCATAAGGCGTTCTCACGCAGGTGCTAACGGTTAGCTCCCAATCCGGATACTAGGGCTCTCGTGAGAACCAGGCTATACTGTCACTGTAAAAGCTCCCTGAGTTGACATACCCACCACAAACAGCCTCACCTATTTCTGTTTTAGTAAATTACATATCTCAACAGATATAATAAAAATATGCAAATAATTAATACTTTTTAGGTTTTCTGTATACTAATATGGTTATATATTTTCCAATACTCTTTCTGTATTCTACAATTTGTATAAAGTTTACCAAAAATAAAAATATATACCTTGAGACTACAGGGTATGCTATTTATAGTACACAACTCCCTCTAATTGAAGACCCCTCTAATGAAAGAACACCTGTCTTATCTTTTTAATATTATTTTTAAAATTAAAGACTAAAAATGCTAAAGACCATGGAAATCCTGTCCAAAAAGTGGTCTTTAATTGGAGGGAAACCTGTATTCGATTTTTCATGTTTATATTTGGTGAATATAGATTTGTATTACCAAGCAAACTTTGAAACGTCACCCAGAAAGAAGCCTTGAATGATTGTTATAAATGTAAATAATAAATGTAGAATGTAAACACTTCTCTGTACTTAATTATGTAAATACTTAACTGCTAAATTCCATCCCTATACATTATATTATTCCATTTGAACAGTAACTTTTTTTTTATGCAAGTGAACATTTTGTATATGTATGGTCTTGTCCCACAAACATGGTAATAATTGTTATTGATTGTGGAAGGTTTTGAAAAGTGTTTTGAATAAACTCAAAATTTACTATGATTTGAAACTTTTATTCACTGCTTATTCAAGAACATATGGTAAACAATACATTTGGTGTAAATTCTGACACTTTACAGTGTGGATATAAAATGTATATTGTACAACTACTGTACTCTAAAGAGTGGCTTTTGCAAGGTTTTCTCTCTTCACCTGGAAGTATGGGCATCTAATACCATTTTCATAATGCTAAGGTGAGAATAAACACTAGTTAATTCTAGAGTGATACCAGATGCATTTCTATTTACGCCAAAGGAAAAAGTCTAGGTGCTAGCAATCATCACATGTCCGGAGTTTTGCTTGTAAAAAATGTATTGGTCTACGTATAATCCCAGAGAGTAAAGGAGGTTGTACATTGCAGTAATAAACACCAATATAGTGCTATACAATAACACATGATTTTTAGTAAGCAATTGCTAGAGGAGAATCTCATGGAACACTGCTGTTGTCCGCTTTACGCCTCTTCCAGTTACCGGTCTCGCGTTGATATTGCTGCCTAATTAGAGGAATAAACACAAGTACAGTAGATGGTAGTTGGTAAGACAAAAATATTTTAACATTTCACTTAGGAATTGTTGCTGACATCAATATCTAACACACTGCAGGACATCAATTTGTTAGGCACAGAATACATTTGCTAAAATGTATACAGGCCTCCCTCAAATTAAAGACCACTTTTGGTACTTTGTTTCAATTTGGACCACAGGAAAGTGGTCATTAATGGAGATGGTATTAAATTGGTAGGGTCTTTAATTAGAGGGAGATCCGTATATTTATAGCTGTATTCAAAATACACAAGCATTGCTATTAATTTTTTCATAAACACTGTTTTAAATAGGGTAATGTAATGAATAATGTTACCTGGACTGCAGCCGTCTACCAGAGTTCCAGACTCTCCCAAATGAAGGGAGCCAGTCAGCATTGCTTGAGGATGCACGGTCAAAATTTGCTCCAACTCTGCCGGGATTCAACTTCCGTTTACGTTCTTTTTTTACTGTGAATTAAAAGCAACAACTTTATGATACATGGAACGAAATACTGTAGTTTCATTTATTGTACTACTACTACTCTTTAAAAAAAGTTTTACAGTTCCACCACCAGATTAATTTCTACTCCTCATACATCCCTGTTTCACTTGTTATCCACACCTTGTAGTCTAGCACCACAGCAGTTTTATTGATATTTATTCAATTACAGTATGTTTACATCTTCTTGAAGAAAAATAATTTAAATATAATGAAATATAACACACTGCATAATCTGTCTTTATTGTTTCAAAGATCTATGAAATGAAAACTTACAATGTTCCTGAAAGTCTTTCTCTGTTGGACCAATTGGCTTCTGCTCTGAATCATTGTTATCGTCTGCTCGTAACCATGGAGGAACAGCACCGGTATGAATGTTGCCATCTGATAAACATTTCTAAAACAATAGTATTGTTTGATTTTAAAATTTTGATTCAAGCTAATCTATGTATTATAAGATAATTATATATAAACATGTAAATACTGTAATAATATACAGCATCTGTCTACAAACTCACACTTGGTCCAATGAATGTTAATCCATCACTTGCAATCACCCCCTCTGTTTGTACCTTAAAATTCGCTGACAGGCCTACACTTCCTCCTGGTTGTCTCTCCCTACGATCAAAGCATTAAAATGAGAGGAAAATTTGGATTAGTTTTAAATATAATGTCATTATAGGCCTATGCTTGGAGCCAGCAGGGGTGGAGAAATAAGTGTATGCAATTCCCCTATTCACTCCTATTGTACTCCTTGATGTATTTATCCTGGGGTAATAATTTAAAATGCATAGATGCCTTTGTAAGATGTGCTATATACAACTGATTATAGTCTAGAAGATACAGTTTATTCTAATCATTTTGTTGAATTCTATAGCATATTATGATAACCAATACTTTTTTTTATACAAATACTTACCGACTTCTTGATTGCTGTTCTGATTGGCTAGATCCACTCTAAATATGTTCAGGAAACAATAGACATTGAAGTAAATCTTAAGAATTGCAGTGCTGTTAGTAGTCTCTGAGTTAGATACTTACATGGATTCATGATTATGAATAGTGTACACCTACAAACAAAATACAACCACAAGTACCTAGGCATGTTCAATATGGCAAATAATTTGTTTATTCAATAATGTCCCAAAATTATCCAGTTTGAAGGGACTTGTATCCTGACTTCAATGATTTCTGTTGGACATTCAGACCTCCAGGCCATCCCCCACTTCAATGATTTCCATTGGACATTCAGATGCCCACCCCCTGCTAAGACAGCTTAACCATCACTCTTTAATGTATACCGTGCCCTATAGCCACCACTGGTGCACTAATGTTGCCTGAATTAAAGTGGCTCACTACAATAAATCAAATTCATAACAAAACAACAAAAACTTCAAAGGTATACAGTAAGCAGTGGGTACTGATTCTGTTACACGATGGGACACACCTGCTGCTCACTTGATGAGGAGAGGGTCTGGTTGAGTAAGGCCGCCTGAGAACTCTCAACTTGTTGTATCTTTGCAGCTTCCTGATGAAAAATAACATTACAAAGTTCTTAAAAATATTAATGTTCAATATATTAGGCAATATATGTATAATGGCCGAGCGGTTAAGGCAGGAGCACCGTGATCATAGCCAACAATATCGGCACGGGCTTGCGGCCGGCTCGCTTCTATACTTCTAGTGGTGGAACAAGTCTTCTCGGATAAGGACTATAAACCATAGGCCCAGTGTACACAAATGCTCATGTGCACTTTAAAGAACCCAGTACATCTTTCAAGATGAGTAGGGGGTTACACCGGTGTACTGGTTCACTCTGCCCCTGTCGTGGACAGATGAAAGTGCGCCAGTTTACTGGCTGCAGTGGACATGAAGTGACCCTCAGGGAAGGAGAAAGTTATTGAAAAGTGCAACATCTAGTCCCAACCGCATAGAGACCTCGTTTATCTGTGCTATATAAATCCATCTATTATTATTATTATTATTTCATGGTATATTTTAACATAAAGCTGTTTTGATGACAGAAATATACAGGCTAAAATTAATTATTAGCTTACAATCAACTGTCCTACTCTTCATAATGTAATGCAAACATTATCACATACAGTGTTGTATACCTTTTTTAATTGCATCTCTTCCTTGTCTTCATAACAACTGAGGGCGTCCTTTAAAGCTTCTTTGAATGAATCAAGCTCTTCATCACTCACAAGGTATTTCTGTTTTTGATCTTTGCTTAATCTATTATCCCAAAAGAACTGGTGAACTTTTTTAGAATGTTCAGATCTAAGGATGACAAAAATAATAATAAAATCAAATTGTATTCATCATCTCAAACATCATTACAAACAAAGTATCTTTAATTTAATGAATAAAATTTAATTTAATTATAATGAATAAAATTTTACTGTTTAATGAATAAAATGTATCTATGTCTTCATGATATACAAAATAAAACCTTAAATAATATGGAGCTAAACTTATGCATTAACATACGTTGCTAAATGCTCCAAAAGACCAGCATCCATGATGATAGCATGATCGTCTGCCTCATGTCTTCTAACCTCAAGCGAACACATGTAGCACCATACTTTGACCTCAGATGTCTCTGAACTGGCCTTAGTAATTACCGGATTCAACAGCTTTTTCTTGGCATCAGCGACCTATTAATAAACAATTTAACTACTTTGATAGTGCGTAAAGGAGAGACAATTAATAAAAAATGTGCTTTTAAAATAAATTTTATGTTTTTTGTAAGTTTTATTTTGTGAATTTTCACTTTGATTTATTAGGCCTAGTGTAAGACTACATTTTGAAATTGAATGGGTTTTCTTTTTTTTAAAGTTTTATACACAGCAGATGTGTGCCCTCCAAACAAGAGTGACTGACTAGCCTAGCCTAGAGTAGCTAGGCCAACCGATCCAATAAATCTGAATCTTATACTTTGAAGTAAACAAATTATATAAATTAACATGCGTGTTAGCCTCCCGAGCTGAACTTAAGCATAGGACTACAGAATTGCAAATTCCACCATGGACCTCGGCTGGATCAGACTAGACTAGCCTAGGCCTAGCTTTCTCCGGCCTGGGTGGGTGCGTTGGTTGGAGCAATGGGCACATTTACAGTGATGATTAATCAGTCAGTGGGCCTAGGAACTAGGCCTAGGCCTAACTCTATTTATTACATAATAACTTTACCTTTGAGCCAAACTTTAACAATATTGTTTTTAACCGTGCTTTATGCTTTGAGGAAAATGAATGTTTGTTTGCAGATGTGTGATTTATACGGCAAACGTCACAGTAAGTGTAAACTTCAGACATCATTCACCAGCCTTTTAGCAAAAAATATTGTAAACAGTAGTCCTGAATCCAGACGTTTATTATGTTCTTTTTGTAGACCTAGCCAACAACATCGAAGGTTGTGATGACAAAGCTTGTTCAACGACTGGTGCAGGTGGTGGCGATCGAACAGAAAGTGTCGCTAGGGTACTGTAATTATTTTTTTCTGTCTATAATATTATTAATATTATTGTAAATATCTCCAAAAATGGCCATGGAAAAGCAAGCCGTAATCACGGAAACACACCATCGTCAAATTACAGCCATTGGCTATCATCCTGTACGGCGGGAAATTCTTGCTGGTTTTGAAGGTAACAGATACTTCTTTCTTACTTCTAGGGCTAGGCCTACCTAGGTGGTCCTAATAATAATTAATAAGGCCAAGCTAGGCTATAATTGTCTTATGCGAGGCCTAATACCAGTCTCCTAGCTGGGCCTACACTGGCTACATAGGCCTAGGGCCTAGTAATACCTTAGGTTTATCTAGCTAGAGAGTAGAGTAGCCTACCTTAGTGAATAGGGCCTAGCTAAGCCTAGGCTTATTAGAATGGATTAAAAAATTGTTATAAAAATATGAAAATCTGATGATTGTATGATTCTGAAGTCAAATATGCCTAAATACGGTGTCCAAGAACTTCTGTAGGCCTATTTATACCCTACCTATATGATTGTTAATTAATATTTAATTATTAGTAATAATTATTACTGTAAATATTTTTATTATTTAAAACATTATGTAGGCCTAGGCCTATAGTATTATTAGTAATTACCTATGAATTATTGTTCTTATTTTTTCCTATGCATTCTTGTCACATTTCCCCAGTTGTTACATACATGTAAATAGCAATGATCTTTTAATATTTCTATCACATATTTTACTACAGTGCGCTAGTAAAAAACAGGAATTTTACAAAAAAAAAAGATGAGGATTTGGCATAAATCTGAACTCAAACAGAGTCAAAGATGCCACCTAAAGAAATTAGTAAGTCATTCCACCGCTTCGTAGCAGCAACTGGGAACTGAAAAGATACACTATCAGTGTTTATTTTATATATTTTATCGTTTTCAGATGGTGTCATTAAAACCTTTGAAGCTGAAGGTTCAAAGCTAGTGCATACATCATGGGAGCACCAAGGATGGATTACAGATTTTCTTTACTGGTACAGTTTACCATCCCATAAAATCAATCAATTGTTTATATAACTTTAAAGCCTACAGTATTCCAACAGTCATTGTGATATTTTAAACTCTGGAACATTTACTCAAATATTCAGAATAATTGAAGTAATTAAAGGGTTGAGTTAAGCAAGGGAGTGAAGTTGAACAGCTTAGTGGTTGAGACCTGCCCTCTAATCCCAAGGTTCTGGGTTTAATTCGTGCCACACCAGGACATTTTCTCACAACTACAACTAAGTGGCAAGTGTACTTGCTAATTGGATTTGAAGGAAATTCTTTTTTTAAAGCAAGCTTTGAAAGAATGGTATCTAAACTGAGAAATATACTTAACGAGAGTAAAACTTCACTTTAAATGCAGTTCTACATGTTTGTACTCAGAATAAAACCTAACTCAGATTCATGAGTAGATTAAATTTTTGGAGCTAATGAGGAATTGCCCATTTTCCACTTTTTATGCCATTGTGTTGATTGTAATGTTGATTTGTTTTTGTTGACTTAAGCCTGGTTTCCATAAAAATAGCTACAAGCTGATTGGTCAGTTGAGTCAGGGAGCGTTCACGATTGCATCGGGAACAGCTACGCAGTGCAAGGATTGCAGTGAAAACGCTGTAGCGACTGCGATTCTACGAAACCAAACTTCCAATGCTCTCATTGCCAATTTCACCTGCAGGGAATACGGTTCATGTGCTGATGAATACTTAATATTTAATATTATGTATTTTATGATTTGTTTTGTATATTTTTATTAGGACTGAAGGTAAAGTGATGTTCTCATCCTCCAATGATGGTTACATTGTTGCATGGGCATCTGGTGGTGGAGTCTTCGATAGAATTAGAGTTAGTAACAACACATTTTTACATATTTATTTTTTTTTCAAATCAAGTAGATCAAGTTAAACTATGTTTAATTTATGTATTCCGGAACACTATGTTAAACAGTGGAAGAATGAGGAATGGAATTGTTTACTTGTTTATTTGTTAATTGGATCATAATCACAACACCGCAGTTCTTGTATTAGGGTTATTTCTATCCCATGATAGCATCAGATACTGCAATGATATTTTAGAAAGGTGCATGCATCAGAAAACTCCATAGAAATAGTGTTTTGCCAAACCTGAGTAGTTTACGCCTCATGCACAAGCTTTGTGGTTTAGTAGTTATGATCCATGCTGTTTGTCTGGATGTCATGAGTTCGATTTCCGCCCCAAATCACTTGCAAAATATTTTGACAAGTATTTAGGGGGTATAATGAGTATTCAGTGTGATAATACATCAAGTTTGGTAAATATATTAGTCCCTATTCTGATGCAAACATTAAAAGATTATTGTTTTCTAATGAACATATTACTGTCTTACCAATTTAGGTTGGGTCCCCAGTATATTGCATGGCCCTACACGTCAGACGGAGGCAACTAGTCTGTGGATTTAACCAAGCAATCAGAGTGTTTAGTCTTGATGAGGGTTTGTATTCAATCTTTATGAATTCAGGATAATTTTAGGCAGACATGTTAGAATACACATTGTGTGAGTATAATCTATAGAGAAGGGTAGGCGGGACTTTCTTTATACCTTGTTTAGCAAACCTGCCGATTGCAAACATTGATGATTTCGATTAAAAATAAAATTTTATTTTTTGCCAATTAGCGCACCCGCCGCCACGGAAAAGTAGAAATTTTCTTTATTTTTATTACACCCTCCGCTGCCTTGAAATCTCCAAAGATAAGATATGTATATTTCTTCCTAATTATATAAATTTGAAGCATTTACCCATCCTATTTTGCATTCAACATTAAAATTTTATTTTTATTTTCTCCTCCGTCTGGATGATTTTGGCTAATCTATCGATAATGTTAAAAATAATAAGTACGCAAAACAAGGAATAAAACAAGTCTCGCCTAATGCACAGTACCGGAGGATGATGATGATGATAATGATAGTCAACTCTGCGGCTACGCCATTGCTAATGTGTAGTGTAATGTAGTGGGGCTTGATATATTAGATTAAGCACAAGTCTCAATGTAGACAATTCATCGCAATTAGGTATTCTGCTAGAAATGTTTTTATTGTAAACTATTCAGTGTTTTTAGAATCTTAGCCTTTAGTTTTCATAAGATCTGCTTGTTGTGTTTGCTATTCATACAGGAGGAGCTGTGCAACCATCTGCAGTTGCTGATAAGGAGGGTAGTCATCTGATACATATTAAGTCCGGCTCAACGTCAACTGAACACAAAGACATCGTCAAGTGTATCGTCTGCCACGAATCACGTGTGTATTCTGCAGGGTAGGCATCATGTCGTCGCTCACATCACGAACTAACACAATCAAAGTAGATTGTGTTTGTTTGTGAAATCACAGTAGCGCGTCAAAACGAGCGCGTATTGGTTTTCAAACAATTTTGTATTCTTAACCACACAAAAAGTCCTTAACAACAACAGCGCGTATTTTGACGCGCTTTTTTGATTTCACGAACTAACACAATTGAATTTAATTGTGTTAGTTTGTGATATGAGCGACGATGTAAATATTATTATTATGACTTTAGGATGTCGTAAACAGTATTACTGGTACTTAATTATAAAAAGTTAACATAAAATTCCCTAAACAACATGCTGCATATATACAAGTAGCATGATGAATTGAAAGTGGTGTTTGAAAATTCCTACCGGTACTTTGCTAAACATTTCCTCTGATATTTTCTGGGTCTGAGGCCATGTGATAAGGGACATCATCCTCCTTGCTATATGTACCAGTAGTGATATGTAAGGCTACCAAAAACACGGAAACTTCACAACAAAATACAATTTTTTGAGGACCTTCTTTGTATTATTAAATACAACTGTATATATATTTTAACAATATTTTAGCCTGTTAGCTTAATATACTAATCATTTTTATAAACTCTTTATGTGAATTTTTTAGGTACGATCAAAAATTGATAATATACGATTCTTCAAGCTACCCTGGACATAGAGGGCTTACTCCAGTTTTCATGTAAGTCACAATATTAAAATCATATTTTATATGCTGCACTCTGAACTATAAGCTTGGTTCTCACGAGAGCCCTAGTATCCGTTAGTGCTAACCGTTAGCACCTGCGCGAGAACGCCCGATTGGTTAGCGCTAACCGTTAGCGGTATCTGGACACCGCTAACGGTTAGCAAGCGCTATTGGTTAGCAAGTGAGCGTGTTTCTATCATCAACCAATCACATGTACGCGTTTACAATTTCCGGTTTCTTATTGACCAGTGATTCGATCATCATATTCTTTCTATCCAGATCGGGATTTTCTCGTATGAACGCACAGCAGCTAACTCTTAGCAGAATCTGGATCCTGCTAACCGTTAGTTGCCGTGTGAGAACCTAGCCTCAGTGACTCAAATGGTAAAATGTCATAATTTGAGAATTATTGAATGTAATTACATTTTTTTTTTATGTATACTGACATTAGTTTTGTAAAGTTAGCATTATGTAAACAAATTAGCTACTATACTGTTTAAAAGCTGCCACTTTTCCGTGTTCATTAGCTGACTGATGATTCCAAAATCAATTTGTGGAGGCATGTGGTCCGGTAGCATGAATTTTGCTTCCATTTGAAAGACTTAAAATGGGAGAGGTATATTACAACTGGTATTTTACAGTTTTAAAGATTCCAAGATTTTAATTTCCAATTTTAACATGGAAAGAAATTAATGTACTGTACACCCACTCACTTAAAATAATTTGAAACATATATATTTTATTGTGACTCAGATTAGATAAGTCTTCCATATCACTTTGCAAATCATTTTTCATATACTGTGCATTCTTTGACATACTGTGTTTTTTGCACTTCATAATTTTATCATTCCATTGTTTTTTTCATTACACGACCTTATGTTTACAGGATTCATGTGTCATGTAAGTTTTACTGAATAAATCCTATTGAGTTTCTTTTATATTAAATATGTCTGGTATGGTGTGGCATTTAATTGTACTACTGGTGTTACTTTAGGCAGTTTCTGAAATTACTTAAACCCCAGTCTTAGAATAATATTTATAGTAGTTACATTGAAAAATTATCATTAGATATATGAAATGCTTTATTATTTGCCAATGGCTTGTAAATGCTCTGGTATATTATATAGCTAAATAACTGTCAGTTTGGTCCTCCTTTTCTATGCAAAGGTATTGGTTGCATTATCATAATATATTCATGTATAATGCAAATTGATTGTATTTAAAGTTAAATATTTTTTCATGCTATGCAAATTTGGTTTTAATGGCATACTGATTTGCTAATTCAGTATTGCAAAGTAAGCGTTGACAAGGAACACTAACTCTTATATTGTTTATGATATAATGATAATAAAAATAAATAATAAATAAGGTTTGTTAAGTGCTCATCCATTTGGATATATGCTCAAGGCATTTGAGAACATAAAGAACGAAAATGGAAAAATTCGGAAAACTAAACCAGAAAATATCCTGTAAATTATCAGTTCAGTTACAGTTTATTTATTTGACCAAAAGATGGTCGGGGGCAGCTTAAGCAAACAAATCACTATAACCTTTTCAAGCCAGCTGCCCCCTCCCTCATAAAATATACAATATGATAAAGGTAACAATGTAAATCACAAAAGACATAAAAAAACATCAATAAGGAATAAAGAAAAAAACAAGTATGTATAAATAAAAAAATAAATAAAAAAATAAAACACCCCAGAGAAATGACAATTTAAACATTATATAGTTACATTGTGTGAAAATAAGTATGAAGCGCATTTAAAAAGGATCTAAATGACTCGCAGGTCAAAAGACATCTTTAAGGCTATCAGGCAATTTTGACCAGATTCGGGGGAAAAGTACTGTAACAGAATTATGATGAACAGCAGTACGAGAATACAAATGATTAAATGATACAGTATTTATGCAATGTTGCCTTATATTGTAGAATGTTATCCAGTAGTTATATTATTGGTGTTTGTAATTGTATTAATGATAATGCATGCACTTTGTTTCGTTTATATTAGATCCAATTAATGTTATGCTGTATTTATTTAAATGCTTGCACTTAAAGAAAGTAGTTACCTACAGTTCTTTCTATTCTTTTTTCTTAATTGGTGAAGGAATGAAGCTCAGATAAAATTTTATCTGTAGATTTTCTTTTTTTTATACAATTTGAAATGCTTTACTTTACACCATCACTAGTAACATTTGGTTGTTATGAAAATTCTTTATGTAAATCTGTTATTCCCATTACTTTAAACTTGTTTTGTTTCACATTGATATGGTTCTTCTTTCAGAAACCACAGAGCACATGAGGCAGGAATATCCACATTGGTGCTGGTTAAAGACACTGAAAACAATACATGGTAAAGATACTTTAAATACAACTTGATTATTTCTTCTTGAAATATGTACTGGGTGCTAGACAAATATAACATCCAATTTATGACCCATTTGAAAGGTAATCGTAAGAGATAGGCTATTTACTCAGCTTATTATTTTGTAGGTTGATTACAGGCTCGTTTGATAAGGTTGTCAAGATATGGTCGCAAGATGGCAAGTTAACACATCGATTAGATGGCTTTATCTCAACGGTGACCGACATCTGTTATGTCCCAAAAAACAAAACATTGTGGGTTGCAGGTGGTGCCCCAGTTGCAAGCCTTTTTGATCCAAAGTCAGGTGAAAATGTAAGTTTTTATTTTTTTTTTATTTATTTAATTATTTATAATTTTTTTTAAATGTATATATTGCTCCAATTATAATTTATGTACAGTATTCATTAATTTTGTTTCAATTATAAATTCTTTTTACAGTCATTATTTATTTTTCATATATTTCCAAATTTGATTTGAACTTGATTGATTTATGGATTGATTGACAGGTGTCAGACTTTATTGGTACTTTCCAAGAATCAGAGGCAAATGAGAAATACCACATTCAACTTCTGAAATATTTTCCTGAGTTGCATCAGGTTGTGGGTAAGTATGTATATAATTTATAAAGTTTCTTATCAAAATTAAATATGAAGACGAAAGATGTATGTAAGACACAACATTTATATCACTTGCCCTCACTTTTAAGCTTTGTCTACACTCTCAAATTTTATGTGACAAAAAAAATGTGATGTGCCCATATATGGGTACGATGATACCATATCACATACTATCAAATTGTATCAAAAAATGTTAAACATGTTTAACCCTTATTTTCCATCACATTTTATGTGACGTTTTTTTTTTATTAAATTTCATATTGTAGACAAAGTTTAAAGTTGCAGTATTCCAGGAGTCAATGATGAATTCATTCTATAATGATGAACCATTTTTATATACAGTATGTAATCCATATATTCAATACCATATTCAACTATTCATACAGTACAAAATGATCTTATCTTATTCATATACTATGTTTACATATATCATGTAATTTTTTTTCATATTTCATACATTTTTTTATATCTCATACATTTATTACGTACGTACATACATTACATTATTATATACATATATAAACATTATTATGATTATTATACATTACTATTACCTCCTCAATTACTCACAGGGGGAGATCCAGAGATGTTCATAAAGTGTGGGGAAGGCTAAAGAGGGGCCAAAAGTGGAGGCCGATCGAGATAATAATACCCTAGGGGTCTAGAGGCATTGCCCTCGTGAAATTTCTGTGTTCCAGACGCCCGAAAATAACCTCTGAGGCCTTTTGGGCGATCAATTTTTTTTGTTCTCTTTTTCTTTTTTTCTTTATTTAGATGATATGAGAGGGCTGTCTGGGGCAGGACCGAGCTGGCTCCCGTCTAAATCCGCCCCTGAGTGTGCTGTACTAATACTTTAACCCTATAATCAATATAAACTTTCACATGAACCGAAGTGCTTAGATTAGTATATCCTTGTCAATATAGCAAGTACAAGTCGACGTCATTTGATAGTTTGGAAGTATAATCCCTCGGCCTGCATCACAGCGTTGAAGTGCAAACATGCTGCAGAATGCCTTACGTACAGTAAGTTATGCAAATGAGGTTGAACTCCTTTATTTTATAAAGTAGTTATCTGATATCTATCCATAGTTTTCAAACCATTCTTCCATTCTGTAATTGACAGAGAAGTTTTAGATTTGATTAAAGAGGTGAGATCATGAAGATAATAAAATAGAAAAAAATGTGGTAGATGCATGAATAGATAGATGAGTATGTGGAGCATGGATGGAGGAAAGGAAGCTAAAGAGATATAGGCAGTGGCGTATTTAGAGAAGGGTGTGGGGGAGCAAGCCCCCCAAAAATTACTCGCGCCCCCCCCCCAGTTTCTCCCCCAAAAAATCAGTTACGTAGTTAAAAATTACATAAAATCACCATATTTTGCGAATTAGCACCCCTCAACTGATCAT